TTAGACTCCCCTCAGGCTCACGCGTAAGTGGCGGATTCCTTGGGCCTCACGCGGTGAGTAACATATTAAAAGATGGGAAACATGCTAGGTAGCAACACTAAGAGCGAGGGTGGTTGTGGAGAAAGCTCTCAAGAGCTTACAAAAGTACGCAGGGTATTTGAGCAGGCCCAGTCGGGGAGCTCCCGAGAGGGGCCCGTCAAGGGGAACAAAGATGCTAGGGAGAAGGACGGGGCTCTAGCCTCGGAGTCGTCTGACTCCGAGGACGAGGGAAAGTTGAATGGCAAGGAGGCCAAAGAGACCAGCTGTCAGGAGCCTAAGTCGCTCGATAAGGAGTCGCAGGGTTCTTTCCCAGCGTTGCGCCGTGAATTGCGCTCCGCTCAACTTGGTCTGCGGAGGAGTAGAGAGCTCCTGAGCGCTCCCCGGCGCGAGAGGGAGGCGAAGCCTTCCGCCCCACCTTGGGGGCTGTTCCCGGAGGCGATCCCTCGCCACGAGGCGGCCGCCCGGGAGCTCCCTTCCCCTTCGCCAGAACAGGAAGTGATGCACGGGCCCCCATTTTCCGCCCAATCATGGCCGCCGTCTTATGCTCTGCCGCCGGCGGGTCGGTATTTTTACAGGCGGCTTTGGCAGGGGGGACGTTTGTCTCATGAGGTACATCCACCACCTGGGATAGATAGTGGCCCCTACGGGATATTTCCTGTACAAGTAGCTATGGGCCAGGGACGTAATGCATGGGAGCCTTTTGAGATAAAGCAGATTAGAGAACTTAAAAATGCAGTTACAACCTTTGGGCCGACTGCGCCTTACACCATTGCCATGCTGGAGAACCTGTCTTCTGGGCCCCTCACCCCCGTGGACTGGATTCAGCTGGCAAAGGCGTGTCTGCCCTCGGGTAGTTACCTGGATTGGCGAGCCTGGTACGCAGAGTTCTCTGCAGAGCAGGCTGAGAGAAACGCCAGTCGGGGAAACCAGGGGTGGAACAAGGAAATGCTTATGGGAGAAGGTCGGCACGCTGATGATCAGACTCAGTTCCCCGGCGCTGTCTATGAACAAATCAACGCCATAGGGCTCCGCGCCTGGAAGCAGGTAAGTGGTGCCGGAACAGCCTCCTTGTGTCTTTCAAAAATAATTCAGGGTACCACAGAGCCATTTGTTGACTTCGTGGCCCGAATGCAAGATGCTGCCGATAAGATATTTTCTGATCCGGGAGTGGCTCGACCGCTGGTAAGGCAGCTGATTTTTGAGCAATGTACAAAGGAGTGCAAGGCAGCGATAGCTCCTCATAAGAACAAGGACCTCAACGCCTGGATTAGGATATGTAGAGAGATAGGGGGGCCGCTCTCCAACTCGGGAGTGGCTGCTCTCCTGGCCGCGGCTGTACAGCAGAGGGGACCTCGCGGGTTAGAAGGGGAATGTAAGGCTAAAGGGTGTTTTGCCTGCGGGGAGCCAGGACACATTAAACGTCATTGCCCAAACAATACAGATGCTAGGCCTCGCCCTAGGAATGAAGAACCATATGTTTGTGGGCGATGCAAGAGGGGATCACACAAAGCTGAGGAGTGTAGGTCGGTCTTTGATGCTCAGGGCAACCGTATTTGTGGACGAGATGCTAGAGAGCCAAAAAACGGCCAGAGGGGGCCCCCTTCACAGGCGGGCCCCCGCCCCAGAGACAGGACAGCTCAGGATGGCAGCCTTCAACAAGGGCCACCCCTGGGTCAGCAGGTGTGGACCTCAGTGTCGCCTCCAGACTTATATTAGTGCCTGATATGGGTGTTCAAGTGGTTGAAACCACCTTTAAGGGACCGTTACCCGAAAATTCCGTGGGTCTGGTGATCGGGAGATCCTCCACGGCCCTTCGGGGTCTCGTAGTAGTCCCGGGGGTCATAGACTCAGACTACACAGGACACATTAAAATTATGGTTCAATCTCTTGTGGGTACTATGGTAATCAATAAAGGAGACAAGATAGCGCAGCTCTTGCTGCTCCCCAGTCTCCACAAGAGATTCCCCTCAAAGCAGAAAATTAGAGAAAGTCAAGGTTTCGGTTCCTCAGGGGAAGTCTTCGAGGGATTCCATATAATACTTGATAAAAGGCCCATGCTCTCACTTAAGGTCAATGGCAAGAATATAACAGGGCTCCTAGACACAGGAGCTGACCGTTCCATTATCTCTAGAAAGGATTGGCCCTCCAACTGGCCCACCAACACTGCAGATAACACGCTGCAGGGCCTGGGGATGGTGTCAGCTCCTCAGGTTAGTGCTTCAACCCTGCTCTGGTGTGATGAGGAGGGTCATCAGGGCCATTTCCAACCATTTGTGTTGCAGTTGCCAGTGTCTCTATGGGGAAGGGACATCCTCACTCAGATGGATGTCACGCTTACGTCAAACTGCTCCCCCCAGGCTAAGGATATACTCAGGAACCAGGGATATACCCCCGGCAAAGGCTTGGGCAATGCCCTACAGGGTTGGACATCCCCGATACCAGTAGAGAACAAAAAAGGTAGGCAAGGGCTGGGTTTTTCTTAGGGGCCGCTGAAGAAGCTCTCCTACCCACTTCGATCAAAATCACCTGGAGGTCAAATGATCCGGTTTGGGTACCTCAGTGGCCCCTGCCTAAGGAGAAGCTATTAGCCTTGTCAGAAATAGTCAGTACACAACTTAGATTAGGACACATTAAGCCGTCAACCTCCCCATGGAACACCCCCATTTTTATAATTAAGAAAAAGTCTGGCAAGTGGAGGCTGCTCCATGATCTAAGGGCGGTCAACACGCAGATGCAGTCCCTGGGGGCGGTCCAGAGGGGGCTGCCAGCTCTCTCAGCCATCCCTCAGTCCTGGCCAGTTTATGTTATAGATCTTAGAGACTGTTTCTTCTCAATCCCCCTGCATCCAGAGGACACTCATAGGTTCGCCTTTACTTTACCCACCATTAACCAAGAAAGCCCTGATCTCAGATACGAGTGGATAACGCTGCCCCAAGGTATGGCCAACAGTCCCACTATGTGTCAGATTTACCTTGATTCCCTACTGGCCCCCCTATGGAAATCCTTTCCCAAGATAAGATGTGTGCATTACATGGACGACCTTTTGCTCAGCGGCAGGGACCCAGACATGCTAAATAATATGCTCGGCCAGTTGGTCGAGGCCCTGAGACAAGCTAATCTGCATGTTGCCCCCGACAAGATTCAGGGAGGAGAAATGGTGACCTACTTAGGCGCGAAAATCTCCCCTATGCTAGTCTCTCCACAGAAGGTCACCATTAGGACGGATGGCGTTAGGACCCTAAATGACATGCAAAAGCTATTGGGAGACATTAATTGGATTAGGCCATATTTACATATACCAAATTCAGATCTCAAACCCCTGTTCGACCTTCTAAAGGGAGACCCAGATATAGCCTCCCACAGGAGGCTCACTCCTGAGGCAAGAGCTGCCTTACAGAGAGTGGAAAAAGCCTTAGGTGGGGCTACCTTACACAGAATTGAACCAGGGCGACCCTTTGATGTCTGTTTGCTACAGACTAGTCTACAGCCCACAGCGGTGATTTGGCAGAAAGGACCATTACTGTGGATACACCCTAAGGTCTCACCTGCAAAAGTCATAGAGCATTACCCAGAGGCAGTCGCTTCATTGGCCCTTGAAGCGCATGATAGAGCTGTCCAACATTTCGGCTCAGGACCACAAGCCATCCGAGTACCCTATACCGCCAGCCAGATCAAGACCCTGGCTGCCTGCATAGATACGTGGGCCATTCTGAGATGTGTTTTCCATGGGGATATAAACAATCAATACCCTAAAGACCCTATCTTGTCATTTGTCACTCAGCACCCTATAATTTTTCCAAAGGTTACTGCCTCTGAGCCATTAGTCCCAGCAACTACAATATACACAGATGGCTCCAAGACGGGGATAGGCGCCTATGTGATCCTAGGCAAGCCCCCGGTTACCATACAATTTGAACCTGATCAGCCTCAGGTGGTAGAACTGCAGATCGTTAAAATGATTCTTGAACGGTTCTCAGAAGCCATTAATATTGTCTCCGATTCTAGGTATGTGGTCAATGCTATGCAAGTGCTTGAGACTGCCGGTTTAATTAGATCCACTTCCACAGTGGCTGGGCTGTTCCTGTCTATCCAGACATTGCTTCAGAACAGACACCATAAGGTCTTCACCACCCACATAAGAGCACATACATCCCTGCCGGGGCCCATGGCACAGGGGAATGCGGCTGCTGATACTGCCACCCACCCGTTATGGATTTTTACCTTACTAACACCAATCGAGCGAGCCCGTGCCTTCCATGATAAGTTTCATGTCAATGCCAGGACACTAGCAAACCATTTCCACGTTTCCAGAGCAGATGCACGAGATATCGTGCGACTATGTGACTCCTGTGCCACATACAAACCTGCCATACCGATGGGAGTAAACCCTCGAGGTTTGATCCCTGGTGATGTTTGGCAGATGGACATCACACATATACAGGAGTTTGGGACTCTTAAATATGTTCATGTTTCCACAGACACCTGTTCTCACGTCATATTCGCAACAGCAGAAACAGGTGAAAAAGTGTCTAATGTGATCAATCATTGCCTGGCGGCTTGGGCCGCATGGGGCAAACCAAAAATATTAAAAACTGATAATGGACCAGCCTATATAGGCAAAGCCTTCAATGAGTTCTGCAAAATGATGGAGGTTCAATTAAAACATGGTATCCCATACAATCCCCAAGGTCAAGGAATCATTGAGAGGGCTCATAGAAGCCTCAAAGAAATTTTACAAAAACAAAAAGGGGGAGTAGGCCAAGGCCTGGCCCCAAAGGCACGATTATCCATGGCACTATTCACACACAATTTTTAAAATTTAAATAATGATAATTGCTCCCCAGCCGTGGAGCACTGCAACCCTTCCCCCAACCATAAAGGGTGGGTGAAGTGGAAAGATGTCCTGACAGGACAATGGATGGGCCCGGATCCAGTGGTCAGCGGTTTGTGTTTTCCCACAGGAATCGGGACGAGAACCACTGTGGGTACCGGAGAGACTGACACGGGCGACAAAGCCCTCGACTGAAGATCAGACCTGCCCTACCGGAGATCCATCACAGACCAACCAACAAGATGAATAGAAATAGCGGTAGCCCGAAATGGACAAGAAGATCCTCAGGCATATGCATGGCTCGCTCGCCTAGCCTACGACCGAGTCTAGGGGTGGTGAGCTTCCCACACTCCTCCTCTAAAAAATTATGACATAGCTGGGTAGGAGAGTCAATGACGGGTAAGAGCGTACTCCCCCGGTGCGACTCAACCTAAGCCAGGCCCTACCCCATCCTGCACGTAAGCCGCTGGACTGTTAGATGCTGCCCAGGTCTAAATTTCTCTCCGAGGGGATTTCTTTACGGAGAGAAAATGAGTGCAAGCTTGTGTGCATCCAGGTTCCGTCCAGTTTGTGCCTGGCCCTAGAAAAAGGACGAGGGCCTCAGGGCCTTGGCGGACCATGGGACGGCCGACCAGGGTCTAAGCCAAGGACCTACGGTGGGCCTACACATAGGGCATAAGCCTCTGCACCCAGTCCAGGAAGGGCTACGATGCGCACATTCATAAAAAATAAAAAAGGGGGAGATGTTGGGAGCCGCAGCCCCGAGCCCGGTCGCCTCACTTGGCGGACGTGAGGCCTGTAGTAAAGAGTAAAGCCTGAGGTAGATTACCCCTCCCATCGAGCACGTTAGTTTCCTGCTTACCGCGTAAGCAACCCGCTCAACAATATAGTCTGCCTGGCAACTGATGATGTTAGCCAATCAGCTTGCCTTGCTTACTTTAACATGATTGGACACTGTATCCGTATATATACTGGTGCCACCCCTGGGGGGGAAGAAGAAGCCCGGAAGTAGAAGCCCAAAAGGAGCCGCGGGGAGCGGACCAAAGGAGGCTTCGGCTGGGAGCGATCCCAGGGCAGGCTGTACGGAGAAGAAAAATAAAAGAAAAGGTTGTCCACTGCCAGACTTTGTCGTGTGTCCTTCCTGCCGGCCGGGAGCGACATCGACACTTGCTAACTGTGGTTTTTGCCTTAAACTTTAGGGGTGGGTCCCCCAAGAGGATAGAACAATCCATTCAACTCTTGACTAAGATTCAATGGTGTGTAAGACGCTCTAGATGCTCTGCTGGACCGGATTGACCCTGCACCGCCTCAGCAGTGCAATGCCACAGAACGGGCAGACCTAGATGATGCCTCTTCCTAAAAGCAATTTAAGGAAACACTGTCATAAGCCAACCCGGGGGGCTTGGCTGGGCCCGTCCCAGGATCCCTGACAGCCCTAAAGTTCCTGCTTCTGGCTGGGCCTTGTGCAGCGGGGGGCAGGTGACTGGAGGCCCACTGGTGGTGTCGGGAGCGTGGTACCCAATGCGGATGCCCCCCAGAACGGCTGCCAAGGCAGGAAGGAGAACCCGGGAGGGGAAGTGGTGTTGCTCCCCCGTAGTTTGATTGTGGTTTGGAGCCCTCGGTTCTCCGGGAGGAGCTCCCTGAGCTTCTGTCCAGATATGAACTCTGCTGTTTCACTGTCATAAGAGCTCGGGACCTCACTGTTGCTGAGGGCAGCTGTGGTGCTTTTTGGGGGAGCCCTGGTCCTTACTCTGTGCGCCCTTTCCTGGCTCCAGGGCAGAACCCCCAGCCTGCTGGCACAGCTCCTCACCCCGCTGGCGCAGACTTCCCAGCGTCCACCGCTGACCTCGGGGCCTTCCCAGCGCAGATCCATGAAATGGACTTGTGTGGGTCATTGTGGGCTCCCGGCCTTCAGCTGGACTCATGCAGGACACTGTTGTGGGATCCAGGCCCTTGGCTGGATTCTCTAGGTCTCACTGTACGGCTCAGGCTGGCTTGAGCTCACTTGATAGCCCGGGTTGGTCTCAAACTTGCAATGCTCCTCCTGCCTCAGCCTCCCGAGTGCTGGGATGACAGGTGTGCAGCCACCAAGCCTGGTTTAACTTCGTTGGGTTTTTAATTATGCCTGAGGGTCCTGTTCCCTCTAGAGGGGGGTAGTCGGTCCCTTTAAATACTTATTTAGGCCAGGTGTGCATGCTTCTAGTCTTAGCTCTCAGAAGGCTGAGGCAGGAGGGTCGCTGATGAGAGTTCAAGGTCAGTCCGGGCTCCAATGGGAGACTGTCTCAAAACCAAAACCAAAACCAAACAACCCAACTGCCCTCAGCTCCAAAGCCTCAGCCCAAACAAAGCATTTCTGAGCATCCTGACCTGGCGATCTCGCTCTTTCCCCAGTGCAGACAGAGCTCAATCCTGTGGTTTGTGATTCTCAAGGAAAACCGGGAAGAGCAGATGGGGCCAGGGTGGGCCCGAGGCCCCAAGGGCTGCAGCCTAGTTACCAACCTTCTCACCCACAAGCGCTTCTCACGTCTTAGGGCTGAACCTGCCACACCCCGCACCCCAGTCCTGGGAGTGCAGAGACCCGCTGGGAGTGGAGACTGGCTTGAGATCAGTGGGTCAGTGGTGCGTGTACACCCGGGGGTGCCGAGCCCCCCAAGTATCTCAGATTCCAGGGGATGTGGGGATTCCCAAAGCTAGATTTCCAAGACGCCCTTTCTGTACCCCTTTCCACTCTGGCTCTCCATTTCTTCCCCCCGGTGCAGGCCCCCGTGAGCCAGCTGCAGCTCATGGCTGGGTGCCAGTAAAGCTGCATTAGGCAGGCGCCGGAGCTGGGCCCAGAGCCCCAAGCCTGTCACCCCGGCATCCTGAGCGGCTGAGGCGGGAGGATTTGCAAGTTTGAGCTCAGTCTGGACATCTTAGTGAGCCCATCAAAAATAAAAAGGGCTGGGGATGTAGCTCACTGTGAGGCCCCTGGGCTTAATCCCCAGTACCAAAAAAACGCAAAAACCACAACCCCAAAGCCAGGAGCAGCATTTGGCCTGACCTGTGGCCAGGAAGACGCCAGCCCCACTCCAAGAGCCATTTGAGAAGGCGGCCACTAGGTGGCAGCAGGGAGCCGACTCTGAGTTGGAGGTGGAAACCGCCCAGTGTCTGCCCGCAGCTGCAGGGAGGCTGAATGGGGCTGGTCCGCACCTGGGGCACGATGCAGCCCGGAAAAGGAAGGAAGCGGCCCTGCACCACAGACCTCACCACAGCTGGGCTGCCAGACCCAGGGACACACACTGCAGGGTCCACTCCCTGGACCCTGAGGGCCCAGAGTCGTCAGCACCGTGGAGACAGAAGGACGGCGATGCCCGGCTCCGCTGAGGAGACGAGAGGCGTGGGGGAGCAGGACGGCTGCGGGCTGGATTTTCCCTGGGCTGCTTCGCTTGCCGAAACTCCAGCCTCTGGGCCGTGGGGGGGCTTGGGAGGTTTTTGTGGGTGTATGGTCCTCCTTATTATTTTGTTTATTTTTAATTTTTTTTGTCTTTTTCTTTTTTACCGGTACCAGGGATCGAACTCACGACCACACACTTGCAAGGCAGGTGCTTATGCCGCTGAGCTAAATCCCCAGCTCCCATTTGTTTATTTATTTTTAATTTTGAGAAAGGGTCTAGTTAAGTTGTTAAACTGCCCAGGTGGGGCTCCAGCTTGCGACCCTCCTGCCTCAGCCTCCTAAACAGCTGGGGTGCCGGGGGTGCGGCACCTTTGGAGGGAGTCAGATGCGCTCCTGGCTACAGCCGGACAGAGCCAGCAGCCGGCAGCTGTAGCTGGTCCTCGGCAGGAGCCTGGCCCAGGTCACCCTGGTCTTCCAGGGGACCCAGCCTGGCCTTGTGACCAGGACTGTTTGTACCTGGTAGTTCCCAGCGCTAATGTCCAGCTCAAGAAAGTACTGGTTGCTGACAGAGCCCTTTCCTGCTGCACCAGTGGAACGTAGCCTGTTGGTTCTGCCTGCAAGGTGATGTGTGGCAGTGGGTGGCTCAGGCTGCTGGAAAGTGCTTTGCTGGGCAAAGGCCCTGTGGTCACACTGTGTAGAGATGGGGCAGGAAGGGGGCAGAGGAGTGGGACTGGGGACGGTATTTGCCCGCTCTGTGTTAATCTAATTAAATGCCAGAGTCGGATCATCTTACAGAGGAAAAAGGTTAGTGTACGCCTGCCATCCAGCTCCTTAGGCTGAGGCAGGAGAATCTCAAGAATAAAGAAAGTGCCAACTTAATATGGTGTTTGAGGTGGAGCACTTGGGGGTGATTATGATTAGCTAAGATCATCAGAGTGGGGCCCCCCTAGTTGAATTATGGTAGCCTTATGGGAAGAGGGACAGGGGGCTGGGTGTGGTGGCTCACGCCTGTCGTCCAGCGCTCCGGAGGCTGAGGCAGGAGGATCACAGTTCCAGCCTAGCTTGGACAACTTAGTGCCTCAGGAAGAGCCTGTCTCAGGATAAAATCATGTTTAAGGAACAGGATGGGTCTAAACTCCAGCCGCATGCAAACCTAGGTAAGGCTGGCTGCCGGGAGCCCGGTTCCTGGTGGCCCTGTGGGAACAGGGTGTGGCAGGGGTGAGTGTCACGGTCTCATGTGCAGTGATTCCCAAAACTCTGTGTCCCCTGGGCCACCAGGCCCAGAGGTGGGCTAGAGAGGTGACCAGGTCACAGGCTGCCTACAGCCCCGCCGCTCTGTGCCTCAGTGGAGCGGAGAAGGGCGGTGTTGAGTGCAAAGTTCCAGAAAGCCTCACCTAGGCCAAGGTGGCAGATCTGCCCTTCCGAGTGGGCGTGGAACATTCTAGGGTGCAGAGCCCCGATCAGAGGGGGTCAGAAATGCTGGCCAGGCCCTGGCCGAGGACTCGGGGCCACAGACTTGTGGCTCATGCGTCAGAGGCTGGACCTGGTCAGTGGGTGCGGGGGGTCCTGTGTGGGGTGACCAGGAGTGTTGGGAGCCACCACATTGCCGAGCCGCCGCATATAGCGATCATGCGGCCTGTGGTAAAGAGTAAAGCCTGAGTTAGATTACCCCTCCCATCGAGCACGTTAGTTTCCTGCTTACTGCGTAAACAACCCGCTCAATAATATGTTAGCCAATCAGCTTGCCTTGCTTACTTTAACATGATTGGACACTGTATCCGTATATATACTGGTGCCACCCCTGGGGGGAAGTAGAAGCCCGGAAGGAGCCGCGGGGAGCGGACCAGAGGAGGCTTCGGCTGGGAGCGATCCCAGGGCAGGCTGTACGGAGAGAAAATAAAAGAAAAGGTTGTCCACTGCCAGACTTTGTCGTGTGTCCTTCCTGCCGGCCGGGAGCGACATCGACATTTGGTGGCCCGCACGGGGAACAACTGATCACCCCCGAGACGTGGTAGTGGACAACGTTCCTTGATACAGCACTGCGAGACAGGTGAGTAGGGGATAAACCTGGGCCCTGGGTGGCGCGCACCTACAGGGTTTTTAGACTCCCCTCAGGCTCACGCGTAAGTGGCGGATTTTTGGGCCTCACGCGGTGAGTAACATATTAAATATGGGTAACGTACCGAGTAACGACACCCAGCCCTTGGTACAGGTCCTCCGGAAGCTCTTAAAGTCCAGAGACCTCAAGGTGGGACGCAAAACGCTGGAGAGCTTTTTTGAGGAGATTGATAGTTTCGCTCCCTGGTTCTTGCCCACAGGGCACTTAAACCTGCCCTCGTGGGAGAAGTTGGGCAGGGATCTTTCTCTAGCGGAAAGGGAGGGCGGGGCTTCAGTCTTCGCTCGGCCACTGTGGGAAATGATATATGCATGCTTGAAGAGCGAGGGTGGTTGCAGGGAAGGTTCTCAAGAGCTCATTAAAGTGCGTAGGGCATTCGAACAGGCCCAGTCAGGGAGCTCCCGGGAGGGGTCCGTCAAAGGAGACAAAGATATAAAGGAGGAAGACGGGGCTCAGGCCTCGGAGTCGTCTGACTCCGAGAACGAGGAAGGCTTAGACAACGATGAGACCAAGGAGCCTAGATGCCAAGAGGATAGGCCGCCCGATAAGGAGTCGCAGGGTTCTTTCCCAGCGTTGAGCCGCGAATTGCGCTCCGCTCAACTTGGTCTGCGGAGGAGTAGAGAGCTCCTGAGCACCCCCTGGCGCGAGAGGGAGGCGAAGCCTTCCACCCCACCTTGGGGGCTGTTCCCGGAAGCGATCCCTCGCCACGAGGCGGCCGCCTGGGAGCTCCCTCCCCTTTCGCCAGAACAGGAAGTGATGCACGGGCCCCCATTTTCCGCCCAATCACGGCCGCCGTCTTATGCTCCGCCGCCGGCGGGTCGGTATTTTTACAGGCGGCTTTGGCAGGGGGGACGTTTGTCTCATGAGGTACATCCACCACCTGGGATAGATAGTGGCCCCTACGGGATATTTCCTGTACAAGTAGCTATGGGCCAGGGACGTAATGCATGGGAGCCTTTTGAGATAAAGCAGATTAGAGAACTTAAAAATGCAGTTACAACCTTTGGGCCGACTGCGCCTTACACCATTGCCATGCTGGAGAACCTGTCTTCTGGGCCCCTCACCCCCGCGGACTGGATTCAGCTGGCAAAGGCGTGTCTGCCCTCGGGTAGTTACCTGGATTGGCGAGCCTGGTACACAGAGTTCTCTGCCGAGCAGGCTGAGAAAAACGCCGGTCGAGGAAATGGGGGCTGGGGATTTAGCTTAGCGGCATAAGCGCCTGCCTTGTAAGCAGGCAATCGCCAGTTCGATCCCTGGTACCAATAAAAAAAAAATAAAAAAAAAAAAAGATAAAAATAAAAAATAAAAAATAAAAAACAAAAAGGGGGAGTAAGCCAAGGCCTGCCTCCAAAGGCGCGGTTATCTATGGCATGACAATGGATGGGCCCGGATCCGGTAATCAGCTGGAACCGAGGCGCGGTTTGTGTTTTTCTGCAGCAATCGGGACGAGAACCACTGTGGGTACCGGAGAGACTGACACGGGCGACAAAGCCCTCGACTGAAGATCAGACCTGCCCTACCGGAGATCCATCACAGACCAACCAACAAGATGAATAGAAATAGCGGTAGCCCGAAATGGACAAGAAGATCCTCAGGCATATGCATGGCTCGCTCGCCTAGCCTACGACCGAGTCTAGGGGCGGTGAGCTTCCCACACTCCTCCTCTAAAAAATTATGATATAGCAGGGTAGATGAGTCAATGACGGGTAAGAGCATGCCTCCCCAGCATGACTCAACCTAAGACAGGCCCTACCCCATACCGCACGAAAGCCGCTGAATTACTAGGTTCCGCCCAAACCAAATGTCGCCCCGGGGGGATCATGCGGAGCGACATGAGTGTATGCCTGTGTGCATCCAGGTTCTGTCCGGTTCCTTCCTGGCCCTGGAAAAAGGACGAGGGCCTCGGGGCCTCGGCAGACTCGGGGACGGCCGACCCGGGCCGACGCCGAGAGCCCTTGGTGGGCCTCCTATCAGGGCATAGGCCTCTACACTCAATTCAGGACGGGCTGCGATGCGTAGACTTATTTAAAATAAAAAAGGGGGAGATGTTGGGAGCCACCACATTGCCGAGCCGCCGCATATAGCGATCATGCGGCCTGTGGTAAAGAGCAAAGCCTGAGTTAGATTACCCCTCCCATCGAGCACGTTAGTTTCCTGCTTACCGCGTAAACAACCCGCTCAATAATATGTTAGCCAATCAGCTTGCCTTGCTTACTTTAACATGATTGGACACTGTATCCGTATATATACTGGTGCCACCCCTGGGGGGAAGTAGAAGCCCAGAAGGAGCCGCGGAGAGCGGACCGGTAGAGGCTTCGGAGCGAAGCACGGAAGGAGCCGCGGGGAGCGGACCAGAGGAGGCTTCGGCTGGGAGCGATCCCAGGGCAGGCTGTACGGAGAGAAAATAAAAGAAAAGGTTGTCCACTGCCAGACTTTGTCGTGTGTCCTTCCTGCCGGCCGGGAGCGACATCGACACAGGAGGGCAGAGCCCAGGACACCTGACGATGGATGCACTCGAGGGACCCTGGTTTACGTCACTCAAACTCACCACAGGCCGTTGGGGCCACCCACGACACGAAGAGGTGTCGGGATCTCCCTAGTTACTGGCTTTTGGGGGCTTCTACGTAGCAGCCGGCAGGTCACTCCGGTCAGCTGACAGGCGGCCACCTGCCTCTGGGGGACTAGGCAGGGGCTCCTCACTGCACACGTGACCCCGCTGGCCTCTGCTCCTGGCGCTCGTCCTGGGGCTGTGGACGTGTGTCACCACCCCCAGCGTGTCACCTGCTTCTTGTGGGACAGAGGTGACGTACTCTGCCATCAGCCCCAGCCAGGTGGCCGGAGCAGGTGCAGGCGGCCAGCTGGGCCTCGCCAAGCCCACGGCGGCCGCGTTCCTGACCGTACATGGGCAGCCGCTATTAATAACTCGAATGCATTAGCGCCCGGGCACTGGGTGACACCTCTATAAAGCCAGGCCCGCCGGCCCCGGGTGGCTCCTTCAGCCCCTGAGACCTTTAACCCCCCTGTTGTGAGACAAAAAGACAAGTAAGTACCCAAACATCTGCCCTCCGCGGCCCGCGCCGGCCACCGTGGCCACACGGCAGACAGTGTGGAGAAACAGAACCCCGGAGCCACCAGGTGTCCCGGGCACGGCCTCCAGGACAGCCCAGGACTGGCCCAGACTGGGACCGATGGTGGGCAGAGGACGAGCAGGAGGCTGAGGCAGGACAGTCTGAGGACTGGGCCTTCCCTGTTCTAGGAGATGGAGCCGGGGACCCCCGGGTCCAGGCCAGGGGACCCCAAGAATGCATGTGTCTTGCCGTGGGAGGGGGAATGATCAGGGTCGAGGTGGGGTTCCTCCCATCCTGCACCCCCAGCCCAGCCCCATTTTATATTTGGAGGGTCTTTGCTTTGCTTCCTTTGGGTCCTGGGGACCGAAGCCCGGCCCACCCTCGCTGCCTCGGTGCCCTTGTTTCCCGCAGGGGCTCCCCAAGGCGCCCAGGGAGGTTTGCATTTGAGATCCTCCTGCCTCAGCCTCCCACCATGTCCGGCTTGAAGGGGTTTTTGTGGGAGTCCCATTGGGTGCTAACGGATCCCGAGGCGCCCTTTCTAGGAGTCACCAAGTCCCCTGTCCCCCTACCTCACAGCGGGGACAGCCCCTGACTTCTCTGATGGTTGATTTTGCCCGAGTCTTCTCACAGCGTCTCGGGAGCTGGGGGAGCTGAGGCTGCTTCTCAGAATCCCTCCACACCCCAGAGTCAGAGTGCACCGGGGAGATTTGGGGGGGCTCCCGGGCTGTGGCAGAGAGCACGGGGGCATCTGAAGCTGTCACCTTCTCAGCCTGCTCCTCCCCCTGGCCCTGGCTGTCCTCCAGCTGGCCCCAGCGACCCCCCCTTAGCGACCCGAATGGGGCGGCCTTTGGAGGTGACCGTGTTGGCCCCCGTGGGGCTCTGGGTGGGGGTGGCAGTGGCTGAGTAACTGCTGGTTAAGGGAGCAGCTGAGTGCTACTTGATGTGGGTGACAGGTGTGGCCTCTGCTGACCAGGCGGGTGGGTGTCAGTGCCTCTCCTCTCCATGGCTCTTAGAGCTTGGGGGGAAGGCTGGATTCTGCCCGGGTGACCATCTAGGGGCCCCGTGACCCTGTGGAGGAGCTGGGAGGACAGGGGATGTTTGTCCTGCAGAGGAGGTCACCGGGCCATCCATCTGTCCTTCCCGGGAGGCACTCGGGTGGGGTGAGATGTCCCAGCAGGAGGTGGGGTACAGATCAGCTTCCTGATTGGTGAAGCCACTGGGTTACCACTGGGGAATTGCATTCCCCCCAGGGGTCTTCTCTGCCTCCAGGAATCCGGGACAGTGTCCTAGGAGCCCCCGGCCCGGCCTCTGCTCCTAGGTGCCCGCCCCCATCTCCCAGGGGAGCACAGGAGGTCACCTCCGAGCTTCCCAGCTGGGCAGGTGGCCTTTGTCCTCCTAGGCTGGGTTTCCTGTCACCACGGGGCCCTGCAGGGACGGAGGAGGGGGCCTCCAGGCAGGGGGACTTGCAACACGGCCAGGCCTGGCCCCACCGAGGTCTAGGGGTCCAGGGTGCCTTACCCCACAAAAGCGTCCACCACCAGGGCACAGCGTGTCCTGTGCTGGGTCCCTCAGGCGCAGGGACGGGGTTGGAGCCCGTCTGCTGTCCTCAGCTGGGCCCACTGGGGCCGGGCATTCTCTGGGTGTCCTGGCAGGGGCTGAGCGACAGCCCCATCTCTGCCAGCTCCACACCAGAGCTCCTGGGGTGACCACAAGTGTCCCCAGACATTGTCCTCCCCCCAGGGCAGAGCCGGGTGGGAACATTCTCACCTGAGCCTGGGCTTGGCACTGAAAGTCTCCGGAACAGAGATGCCAGGTGTCCCAGTAAGATTTGCCCTGAGACCAGGCATTTTTAGGCTCAGGAGACCTTTAGATTATTATTACTATATTAATTTTTTTGAGACAGGTCTCACTATGTATCCCAAGCTAGCTTTGAACTGACAGCGATCCTCCTGCCTCAGCCTCCGAAATGTTAGCTTACAGGCCTCATATCTAGAAGGCCGCCCTATGGCTAATGTTCTTTTTAACAAATTTTTTAGGGGGGGTTTGAGGCAGGTTCTCACTGTGTAGCCCGGGCTGGCCTTGAACTTCTTGCAGTGACCCTCCTGCCTCAGCCTCCTGAGTGCTGGGATGACATACTTAAATTAAAACGGACCATTCTGACCGTGTCTAAGCATCCAGCTTGGTGGCATCGAGCACACCCCACGACTGTGTGCAGGTCCCACCGTCCACCTCCAGGACTGCCCGTCCCCTCCCCTGCCCGGCACCCCTGTCCCTCCCTCGGCCGCTCTGATGACTCTGGGGTGTGAGCCCCGGTGCGGGCCGTGTCTGGCCGAGGCAGGGTCAGGGCTTCCTTTCTGCTCTTTTCTGCCGCTGTGGATCGGACCCGAGGGCAGGCGAATGCTGCACTGTGGCCCTGACCCTTCCATTTTTTTTTTATTTTGAGGCAGGATCTTGCTAAACGGCCCAGCGTGCTCCAACCCAAGACCCTCCTGCTTCAGCTTCCCAGGAAGGCTGGGATTGCAGCTGTGTGTCAATCATTCCTTTTTTTTTTTTTTTTTTTTTAAACAATAAAGCCCAGGATGCCTGAGAGGCCAAGCCATGCCACGGCTCCCCGAGAGCCACCTCTCCCTTGTCCCTGTCCCAACCCGGACTATTCTGATCACAGTGACAGCACATTCTCGTGACACTCTACGTGCCTGCCGGAAAGGCCACAGCTTGGCAAGGCCTCCGGGCCCTCTGCCCTCCCGGCTCCCACCTGTCCCCCAGGCCCAGATGGAAAATAGTTCCCGCTTTGCAGAGCAGCGGGCGGCAGCCAATCACGCGGCAGAGCTGCAAGTGGGCGTGGCCATGTGCCAATAAAACTTTATTTATAGACCCGGAAGCTCACATTCCATCTTATTTGCTTGTGCGGAAAATTTTAATTCTTCTCGGTTTTTTTTCTTCTTCCCCCAGCCATTTGGAATTGTAAAGCCAGTGGTCGGGATGGGAGGACACCTCGGTTGTACCCTGATTTCCAACCCCCAGCACCGCAAAAGAATAAATAGCTAAAGAGTAAAAAACATAGAAGGCGGGAGGCTGAGGCAGGAGGATCGTTGCGAGTTCGAGACCAGCCTGGGCTACACAGCGAGACCCTGTCTCAAAAAGACAAAAAAAAAAAAAAAAAAAAAAAGTGGAAACAGCTCTTGGCTTTTGGGTACACAAACACACACAGGCTGCAGTTAGCTAACCTGCATGGAACCCCCTTATCTGTGGTTAACATACCAGGGTTTCAGCTCCCCGGAGTCAGCCACAGCCTAAAGTAATTAAATGGAAAATCCTTCCACAAAATGATTCCTAAGGTCTAACTTCATTATAGCACAGCACTGAATTCCTCCATCCTATCATTGGGCTTCCCCTCCGGACTGATCCATCACACACCCTGCTCCATCCCCAGCCCAGTTACTTTTTGTTTTGAGACAGGGGCTCGCTAAGCTGCTAAGTTGCCCAGGCTGGGTCTGAACCTTCTCGGCCTCTGGAGTAGCTTGGGGGACAGGCCTGTGTGGCCACACCGGGTTCCCTTCCTTTGGGTCTGTTCCTAGGAGCGATGCTGCTCACCTGCATGATTTCCTGAGTCCGCAGCTAAGTCCAAACCCACCTGGCCTCTCGGGGATCCCCCTGCCCTGCCCTTCTGGACTGAAGGGGGCAGGGGCAGTGATTCTGTAGGTGGCCAGGGGGTGTCACCCTCTGATCAAGGGGTGCCCTACCCAGCTACCCCAATCCTGGATCCACCAGATCTTTCAGTTCACTTTGGGCAAAAAGAACAGCTGGGTGCGGCAGGACACGCCTGTCATCTCAGTATTGTGGGAGGCTGAGGCAGGAGGATCTCAAGTTCGAACCCAGTGTGGGTAATTTAGTGACACTCCACCTCAAAAAATAATAAGAGCTCAGGGTGTAACTCAGGGCAAAGGCCGGGGTTCCATTCTCACTACTAGGGGGGAAAAAATGGAATCTCAGAGACCCGGGTTCAAATTCCAGCTCCAGCAAACTAACCTGAGCCCCAGTTTCCCACTGTGGGAATGGGCAGAAATAATCCTATCATATGAGATCAGCCTTAGTCACGGAGGACAATGACATGGCGGGAGGGGGCAGGATTTGACCAAGGAAGGGACAAAATCAGGCCTGGCTCTGAGGCCCTGGCTGCGGGTTGAAGCCTTGCAGGAAATTTGCCATTTGGGGAAACTGAGGCCCCAGAGAATCCCACGAAGGGTTCCAAACAGGCTGAGGTCAGAAGTGACCAGGCCGCTCGGTGCCACCCAGAGGCCACCAGGGACCCAGAAAGGAGACAGGAGGGGCCTCTCAGCCCCCGAGCAGAAACGCCAGATACCGAGGATTTATCAAAACAAGACCGAGTTTATTTCTTAAGACGCACCAAGGTCACTAAGGCATGTGGGATCCCAGTGCCCTTGAAGGCACACGTGCTGTCTGCCCAGACGTCCCTAAGGGGACGAAGCCACCCCGTGGCTGGCCGCTCGCTGACGAGTGGGCATCCCAGGGCTGGAGCCCCGCTGGGTCCCCTCGGCCTGGCCGGGCAGGCGGGCGGCCAGCAGCAGCTGGTGGATGTCACCCAGCACCTGCAGGAAGAGCTCCTCGCGGGGCCGCGTGCCGTCCAGCTGCACTGCAGTCAGAGAGGCCACGGTCAGCTGCCCGCACAGGACAGCGTCGGGGACCAGCAAGGGAGACTTCGGGGACCATCAGGCATGGTGGAACGCCTGTCGCCCAGCACTCGGGAAGCCGAGGCAGGAGGATTGCCATGAGTTTGAGGCCAGCCTGGGCTGCAAAGATGGTCTCAAAAAATTAACCAAATAAAATGAGACTGCTGGGGAGACCAAAAGGGACTCCAGATGGCCTCCCACGGACCTGGGGAGAAATCGTAACTCCCAACATGCAAGAGCTCACGTTCCCCAAAATGGGAGAAGCAATCCTAAGAACAGGGTTCAAGGTAGGAACCTTCTCTAGAGAGACAGTTCCTGAGAGACAGGAGGGGACTGGAGGTGGGCTGTCACAGAGCCCGCTTTCCTGGGAGTTTTGTGGGGCACCACGTGGGCCCGTCTGTCCCCAGTGCGGGACCTTACCCACGTCCACGCCGGCTGCCTCCATCTCCTGCTTATACTTCTGGTACATGGGCCACACGTGGCCATCAAAGAGCTCAGGGGTACTGGAGATTGGGTAGCTGTGGGTGCTGCGGAGGGAAGCGGGACGGGGAGCCCGGGGCGGGGCTCCCACCAGTCACAGCGGGGGGGGGGGACCCTGGGGGCTGGCCCGGCTGCCACCCACCTCCTCCGACACTTGCACTCCTCGTAGGGGACGGTCAGAAAGTAGCGGCGGCTGTACAGGTCCAGCAGGGGCCTGGCGGGGAGGGCGGCTCGGTCGGCTCCGGGCCTTTCCGGGAGCTTGAGCCAGCTCCTCTGAGGCTCAAGGCAGGCACCCCTGAGAGCTGTCATCTTTCTCCCCTATTTCTCCCCTATTTTTTTTTTTTTTTTTTTGGAAGTGCAGAGAACCGAACCCAGGGTCTTTGCACTGAGCTCCAGCCCAACCCTTTTTAGTTTTTAATTCTGAGACAGGGTCTCGCCAAGTCATGAATTTGCTCAGGGTGGGCTGGAACTGGGGACCCTCCTGCCTCAGCCTCCCAGAGTGCTGGGACCACAGGCAAGCACCCCAACACCCGGCTTGGTTCCCCCAAGGCAGACAGGCCCAGAGAGGGACTCTGTGTCACCACGGGTCACACAGCAAATCCAAAGGTCCCTGGTCCTCCCGTCGCTCCCCCACCCCGGCCCTGCATCAACCCAGCCATGGCCAGGTGGCCGGGAGGGGCGGGTCCAGCCCTCACCTGTAACTGTATAGCAGGAAGCCATCTAGAAGCAGGACGTGGGTGTCCGGGGCGTCGGGCTGCAGGCAGACTCCGTGTGCGCGGGCAAACTTCTGGGGGCTGTGGAGCCAGTCCTGCACGGTGCCCAGCATGGCCTCCATGTCCAGGGACTCCAGCGCTGGGGCGGGCAGGGATGGCAGGTGTTGGAGGCTGATGGGGGCCCGGGGACTACAGGACAGCCGGCACCGGGGTGGCTGTGGTCCTTACCGTCCCACTGTTTGAAGCCATCCTCCCCCACGGCTATTTGGTCTTGGGGCTGAAACAGAGGAGCCCGAGCCCGGGTTTCAGTGTTCCCCATGATGCCCCCAGCTCACCCTCTAACAGGGTGTCCAAGAGGGGGTCCGGGCATGTCCTGCACCTGCTACCCCCTGCTCCCAGGTCCCGGGTGGCCTTGAGGCAGCCTGAGATCCAGGCAGGATGGCACATGCCTGTTACGCCAGCACTTGGCAGGCTGAGGCAGGTGGGTCTCAAGATCAAGCCTCGCCTGGGTAACTGAGTGGCTCAGTGAGCCCCTGTGTCCAAATAAAGACTAAAATAAGGTTTGGGGTGCAGCATGGAATGAAGGTTCTGGGTTCTAGTCCTGGTTCTGGAAAAGAAACTTATTCAAAGCAGGCAGATAAACCCACTTTGCAGAGGGTGCAGCCGCCCTGGGCCCAGTTGCCACCCTGTGGCCTCTCCAGCCCTGCTGTCCTGGGCCAGGGCAGCCACCTTGAAGAAGTCATCCTGATGGATCACACAGCAGTTGGGCAGGGCCTTGCAGAGGCTGTTGGCCAGGGTGGTCTTCCCGCCATTGGTCACCCTGCAGAGACAGCAGGCATGGACTGTGGGGTACTGGGAGGAGGGCTACGGGGGGTGGATACGAGCCCAGAGCCCAGGGCTGGAGGAGATATTTGCCACAGAGCATCTAGGGGTCCCCTCAAACCCTGAACGATGAAATCAGCCTCAGAAATGAGGTCCGACCTCACTGGGAGCCAAAAGACACCAGGAAAACGGAACCGAGCAAACCAAACCCAAATGGATATGGTAGATCCCAGCACTCTGGGAGGCCGAGGCAGGAGGATCGCCTTTGGCTGGAGGCCAGCCGTGCTGCATGGTGAGACTTGCGTTTAAAAAAAAATAAAAGAAAAACCAAGCAATTTAGCAAATCCCCTCCCCCCACTGATTCTGGTTGTCACAGAGTTTTATCTGCTTAGGCAGAAGGGCTTTCTAGGGACCCGGTCCCACGGTCTATGTGTCTGTCCCTGGGTCCTACAAGACTGGCCCAAGGTCCTGTAGGAACTGTCTGACCTTGATCTCTAGATTTCTTTTTCCCCCTTGTTTTTTTTTTTTTTTTTTTTTTTTTTTTTTTTTTTTTTGGTCTTTTTCCTTTTTATCGGTACCGGGGATTGAACTCATGACTGCCTGCTTGCAAGGCAGGCGCTTATGCCGCTGAGCTAAACCTCCAGCCCCTCTTTTTCCCCCTTGTTATGGATTAAGAACTTGTGGCCAACTTAACGCCAGCTGGCTTACATCAGCATGGCCTTGGGTGAAGATGCCCCCCCTGAGGAGGGCTGCCAGCATAAATAGGTGGAGAAGGGAGGTGCTGAGGCGTTAGGCATTACTGCATTGAGGTATTGTGGGTTCCTCTACGAGTTGCTGTCTGAGCTGCTGGTTCTCCTGGAGAAGCTCTGGTCCTCACATGGAGCATTGCTTCCTGGCTCTGGAGGGGAAGGCTGTGCTGCCTGGTCTCCAGGATGAACTTGTCGCGCTGCTTCCTGGCACATTCCTGACTGTGCTTGTCCTCGGAGGAGCTTGGGGCCTCCATGTCGCTGAGGACAGCTGTGGTGCCTTTCAGGACAGCCCTGATCTGTGTTGTGAGTGTGACTTCTCGGCTCCAGCGTAGATCCCTCATCCCACCAGCACAGCTCCTTCATCCTGCTGGCTTAGACTTTCTGGCTTCCACCCCTGACCCTTGGGTCTTTCCGACACGGATCCGTAAAAGAAACTGGCGTGAGTCCTTCATGTGGGCTCTGGACCTCCAGTTGGACTCGTGGAGGCATTGTCACGAGCTCTGGGTTTTCATCTGGATTCATGTGGGACATTGCTGTGGGGTTTAGGCTCTTAACTAAATAATCTATGTCTTTGGTGTTGTGGATAGATTTCCTGCATTTTCCTGTGTTAACTCCCGATGACCATCATAAAATAATATTATAACTCCACGTCTTGATCCTAATTGTTCTCTGTGTACAACCCCTGACCACAACACCCCTTTTCCTTTCCTTTTCCCTTTCTGGTGGCCCTGGGAACTGAGCCCAGGGCCTTTGCACGGAGCTACACTTCCAGCCCGCCTGTATTTTATTTTGGGACCGCTCTAGGTTGCACGGCTACGCTCCAATTTGCGACCCTCCTGCCTCAGCCTCCTGAGTGCTGGGATGATAGGCACAGGGCCACCCCACCTGGCTCTCATGTTTGTTCAAATCAAGGGAGGATGATTTGAAGCACCGGGTCCTGCAGTCAGCAGCCTCCTATCCCTTAGGGGACAGAGTGGACTCTGACCTCAGGCGCTGGGCGCCTGTGGGTTCCCGTGGGGCGCCCCAGGCCTCCCCACTCGCCCTGGCCGGCGTGCTCACCCTCCGATGCCCACGATGATCTTCATGTCCGCGGGGGGCGTGCTGGGCGGTGGCTGTCACCTGCTGTCAGGCTGTCCCGGCTCCATTGAGAAAACCAGGCACCTTTATAGACACCGGGGCATCCCGGAGGGCAGCTTGGGGGAGGAGGCGTGGGCAGGGCCCGGACCGGGGGAGGGCGCACTGGTCCCAGCAGCTGGAAATAGTGCCTTTTGCCTAAATTAGGCCCTGGCCGCGGGGTGGGGCGCATCCTCCCCCTCCCCCCTCTCCTCCTCCCCTCCCCTCCTCCCCTCCCCTCCTCCCCTCCCCTCCTCCCTCTCCCCTTCCTCTCCATCGCCCTCCCCTCCCCTCCTCCCCCTCTTCCTCCTCCCAGCTCCTGGCCAGAGAAACCGGACCCTTAGCCACGCACTTTCCTCTCCTAAAAATATCAGCCACCGTGTGTCCCCAGCCTGACCCTGCCTGACATTCGCACTGATCCTGGTCACACCAAGGAAAGGGACATCAGCCCTGGCCGGCCCTGCTGCTGGCAACTGCCTTTTCCCAAAGATGGCTTTGCTGTAGTGGCCCAGGCTGGCCGGAAAGTCTTAGCGGACCCCAGGAGCCTACGGTGCAGCCTGTGTAATTGGGGTCAGCCCTGGGGTGGCCTGGGAGCTGCTGATTCCCGTACTGTTGGCAAAGGAGAAAAAAAAAAAGGTTGTGTATTAAAGTGTTCAAATGGAGCTGGGCGTGGTGGTGCACGCCTGCATCTCAGCACTCTGGGAGTGTGGGCCCTGCCCACGCCTCCTCCCTCTGCGGGAGGCTGAGGCAGGACGGTTCCAAATTCTGGTAACTTAGTGGCTTGACGAGATCATCTCAAAATAATATAAAATAAGACAAGGGCTAGGCTATAGCGCAGTGCTAAGGCCCTGAGGTCAAAGCCCAGTGTAGCAATCAAAAATATAAAAAGGCTAAGGTGGGCTTTGCGCTGGGGGTGGGGAGGAGGGTGCAGTTCCCATCCAGGGTGATCCGCCGCTGTGGCCGACACAAGGAATCACCCGCGGAGGCCGAGAGCAGGACCCACACGATGCCGGCAGCTCGTGTGGAAATGGGAGCTGCACTCCGGGTGGTGAGAGGGGAGGTGACACATTGCCATAGTTTGGGGACTTTGGAACAGCTCCTGAGGCCTGTGTCTTGAAGGTGTGGTCTGCAGCTGGGTGCTATTGGGAGGTGGTGGGGCCTTTAAGAGGCGGGGCCTAACGCAAATAAATGAGGTCACTGGGGGCGTGGCCTGGGAGGAGCTGCTGGGCCTGCTCAACCCTGAGCCAGGATAACCTTCCCTTCTCGATAAACTGATCAAGGTAGCATTTGTTACATTCCCAGCACACTGACTAACCCTCACCTCAGTCTTTTTTTTTTTTTTTTCTCTCTTTTTTGCAGGCTGGGGAGTAAACTCAGGCCTTTCACCCTCAGTTACATCCCCAGCCCTTTTTTATTTTTTATTTTGAGAAAAGAGCTTACTAAATCCCTCAGCGGCCCAGGCTGGACTCGAACTTGCAGTCCTCCTGCCTCAGCCTCCCAGAGTGCTGGGATGACGGACATGCACTACCACGCCCAGTTTGAGACAGCATCTGCTGACCCCTCGGGCACAAAAGGTGACCGTTCTTCCCTCGGTGACAGTGTGTCTGACTCGGCCTCGTAGGGCTGCTCCCTTGAACCCGGGTCCCCTCCTGCGGCCCCACCCGCGGGTCCTCCCCATCCGCAGAGCCCCGGATGTGGCATGTTTCTGACCCCTCCCTTTTTTTTGCTACTGGGACTCGAACTCAGGGCCTCGTGCTGGCCAGGCAGGCACTGTGTCACTGAGCTGTGCCCCTGGCCTCTCTGGCCCTTCTGCTCTGTCACGTCTCTTCTGCCCAAACTGGGCTGGTTCCCTGCTTTTTAAAATTCAAGAAACATAAATGAAGTCATATAATCTATAGTTTGTGCGTTGATGTGTGTTTGTGTGGCGCTGGGGATGGAACCCAGGGCCTTTGTGCTGAGCTGCACCCCCAACCTTTTCTTTCTTTCTTTCTATTTCGAGACAGGGTCTCAGAGAGTCAGTCAGTTGCCCAGACTGGGCTTAGATGTGAGATCCTCCTGCCTCAGCCTCCTGAGTGCTGAGATCACAGCCTGGGCCACACCTGGTCAGCCTGTGTCTGAGGTTGTTTTGTTTGATAGTGGGTGTTAAATAGAATTCTGCCTTCCAGAGCTGCACCAGGGACATTTCTAAGGTTTGAAGCCACAGGGTGGAGCCATTCATCACAGATGGGACTAAAATCCCCTCCCCCTGGCCCCGGGCCTCCAGGGCCCCAGCTCTGCTCACCTGGGCTCCTGTGTGGCTGTCCGAGCCTTCTGGTTACTCCTGCCCTGCCTGGGCTCTGTGCAGATGGTAGACAAGGGAGATTTGTGGAAGCCAGGTCAGCTGTGCGCCCTTCTCTGCTCTGAGTCCTCCCTATCCCCTCCTCCTTTGCATTAAAAGAAGCCTGACATCTCCTGTCCTGACTGTACCCTGGGGGCCTGACCTGTCCCTACCCTGGGGGCCTCCCTGAACCCCATCCCCCTGACAGCACTCTCAGTGGTCAAGATGGCTGCAGTGGCTCCGTAATTGCTTCAGATCTTCCAGTTGGAGAAGACAGAAAACCTCTCATGGACTGGCGACAGTGTCTGGAACTGCTGAACTGCCCAGGTGGAACCACCACTGTGGTCTCTCCTAGGTGTTCTCCTACCCTGGCTGGGCTTCTGCCCTGGACCTTTCTTGGCCTCAGTTTCCCTGCTTGGCAGCTGGGCAGGTTGGCTGAGACTGTGACCTGAGTTTCATCAGACACAGGAAAGCCCAGCTCCTGGGCCCCGCTTCTGGCCCAGTTTTGGGGAGCTTCAGGGACAGAGAGGCATCTTGGTGAGGCCCGGCAGGAAGGCCCTGGAGGCTCTGGGTCCCCACAAGGCTGCAGCAGGGACGCAAGCACCCAGCACCCCGGCTTTAAACACTGTCCATGATGTCACAAAGCCGTGGGCCCCACGGACCGGAAACACCAAAGACAGGCGAATCCAGGGACCGGAAGTGGACTTGGTGGGTGCCCCGCTGCTGGGAGGGGAGGGGTGACTTTGCAGGGGGGCAGGTGGGGCGTCCTCTGGGGAGACCGAAAGTTCTGGAACTCATGAGAGGTGGTGGCTGCTGGACACTGTGCATATATGAAGTGTCTCGAATGGTAAATTTTATGTTTTGTGTATTTTATCACGATTCAGAGACCACACTGAAACAGCGATTGTCTAGATCCCCGGTGCTGGGATCTCATGGCTACACCACACCGTTACCCCAGCTACTCGGGAGGCTGAGGCAGGAGGGTCTCCAGTTGGAGCCCAGGCTGGGTGCCCTAGAAGTGAGAGCTTGTGTCAAAATAAGACCTAAAAAGGGCCGATGGTGGGAAGCCCTGGGATCCACGCCCAGGACCAAAAAGGAGACTCACAGAGGACCAGGTCTTCCTCCTGGTTAGGATTTATTCATGTCCCTCAAAACCCGCCAGAGCCCGTGGCGATGGCCCCTTCCCATGGTGACAGCCACCATCGTGATCATTTTTGTGTTTAATTAAAAACCCAAGAACTGGCTGGGGTGGGGTGGGGTGGGGCGGGTATGGAGGGTGCCACTCAAGGGGAGGCGACAGCCACACCCCACACCTCAAGACAGAAAACCACAGCCCCCTTACAATGGCGGCTGGGGCCCCCACCTTCTGCCCCCAAGTATCCCCAGATCCAAATCTCCGGTGATGCCCACTTGTGGATGGCACCCCAGCGGCCACCTGGGAACGGTGGCCGGGCACCAGCCCGCCTGGACCTCCACGCCTGCGGCTGCTGGTGATCCGGGAAGACCCGCGTGGCCTGTCCCTTGCCGCAGTGGACAGGTGGCTCCACTGAGCGTCCGGGGCTGGGGTGGGGGCAGAAGTGTCGGCCTGCAGACATCGGGGTCCAAGGTGCGTGGGGTACAGCGTGCCTGGGGACAAGCCATGGTGGCCACGGCCTGTGGCTGGTGGGGACCTCTCCTCCTGTCCGTGGATGGGTCAGTCATGGTCAGCGGAAATCGGGGATCCTCCGAGTCACCAGTACATGTGACGGGGCCACCGTCACCACCGTGGGTGACATGGGGATCCCGGGTGACTGGAAGTGGGAGCAGGCTTGGTGATGTGGGGTCTTTGGGGGCAGCCTCAGCCTCCAGAGGCCAAGACCCCCTCCTCTCTGCCCGTCCTGTATTTGACATTTGGGAAACTAACGTCACACAGCAGCCACCGGATTCCCCAGGATCCAGGCTCCTCAGGCCACGTGGGGACCCCACGGTGCCCCACACTGCTTGGTGGCCCTGTCTCGGGGTTCGCAATCCCAGCCACTTGGAAACCCTGCTTTCTCAGGGTGGGAGCTCCTGCACCCCGGCACTCAGTGCCACCAGCTGCTCCCACGGTGGGGATGACCCGAGACTCGTCCTTCTGGTGTCCAGGTCCGGAGTGGCCGGCTGTCAGCGAGGCCCGGCTGCAGAGGCGGGAAGCTGGGGCCTGGAGAACAGGCTCGGAGGGTTTGATCAAAACAGACACCGGGCTGACGACCGCAGGGACCACTGTCTGCAAACCCCACCTCGCCTCTTCTTAAACACCCCCCGGAGATGGCGAGGTCACCACGGCCAGGGCCGACTGTCCTGGCCCACGAGAACAGCCCGTCTGTCTGTCCTGGTTTCTTTTTCAGTTTCTGAGACGGGGTCTCGCTGTGCAGTCCAGGCTGACTTTAAGCTCACTCTCTAGGCCAGGCTGGTCTCACACTCACAGCGACCCTCCTGCCTCGGCCTCCCAGCGACGGGATGGCAAGGCTTTGAGTGTGGAGTGCGGGACGGCGGCACCAGACTGCCGGGCTCTACCTTCCCCAGTGATCTCCGAGACCCTCCTGCTTCGGGTCCCCTCTGTCTTCCTTAGGTGACGTCTGCGTGTCCGGGGTGACCTGATCTCAGAACCGGCTTCTTTGGCGTCTGCTCTGGGCGCGTCCTGCCCTGGCACTGGGGCTGTCGCTGGCGCCCCTTGGGCTGGCCCTGGGCTGTGGCGCCCGAGGTGAAGGGGCCTGGGAATGTTCCAGAAGGAGGCAAAGCTGTGACGTCACACTCCCTCTTCCGTATGCGATGGGCTCAGAGGCGCCCACGGGAAGCGGGGGACCTCAGAGGTGACGGGGCGGCCAAGCGACAAGCCAGGGCCGGGACTCTGGGACAGGAGCTGGAGGACGGAGATCCGAGGCCGAGGGCCGGGTGTGGGACACATTCCAGGGGAGGCACGGGGATGAGCCTAGAGCCAGCGGTGCCAGCAGGCACCTGCAGCTCCAGACGGATGGACAGACAGACAGACGGGTGACAGTGACAGAGGGACCTGGAGCCGGAGGGAGGTGTCCTGCAGCCTCGGGGCGGGGAACAGCGTGGATGGGGGGAGGGCTGGGGACCAGGTCCTTTTCCAGAACACGGGAACACCACGTCCTCTCTAGGACCTTCCGCAGCCATGTCGAGGAGGCGGAAGGCCACAGGAGATGGAGGAGCCGGTGCCCTGGGACGATCAGGGTGCGGTGGGATGCGCTCTGGGGCCACCGGGCGTCTGACAGAGGTTTCTTGGCATCTGGAATCTCCTTCCTGGCCTTCGTGGAATCCCGCCACCTCAGGACATGCTGGCGGGAAGAGACACAGGCGGAGAGCAGAATGACAGTCTCTGCACAAGTGGAAAACGGCCTTCCGCATGCTCCAGGGTGCCCGAAGGAGGAGCTGTCCCAAGTGGGTACACTTGGAAGCAGGAGCAGTGCCTGCTTTTCAAGTCGAGGCATCTGTCACCTGCGAGCCCAGGGGACTCTCACGGGCCTCCCTCCTGGGGCCCAGCAGAAGACCAGATCCTGGAGACCTCTGCCCTCAGGCTGGAGGGAAGCGTAGATGATCTATCACACACTGATCCACCTACCCTTCCATTTATCCCTCATCATCCACTCATCCATCCATCCATCCATCCACCCACCTGTCCATCCATCCATCCATCTACCCATCCATCCATCCACCCACCCAACCACCCATCCACCCATCCATCCACCACCCATCCATCCACCCACCCATCCATCCATCCATCCATCCACCCATCTATCCAT